AAAAATGCAAAGTATTGTTCTCGTACTGCATCACTTTCCAATGGAATTTGTGGTTTATATGGTCTATACTTGCACAACGAGAATTCTTTCTGCTGGTAAACCTGTCTTTTTTATCTATCAAAAAGCATACATGGAAATCTTATTTCCAAAAATCGAAAAAAGATACAACATAACCATTAGGAATTCCCGCAGGATATTAATGGTGCACTTGTTATTTTTTTTTTTTCTTAATTTATTATTAGTAAATTTTATTATTAAATATTATTAAATATCATAAATATTCTCATCACCTATTTTATATTATGGTCATGTACTGTACAGTAATAAATAATAAAAATATATGATTAAATTGGATGGAAGATCTCTGTTTTTAGAAAATTAATCTTAACAAAAAAAAAAAAAAAAAAAAAAAATTATAAAAAAAAAAAATGTATATATACTGGATATATAAATCCTCTTTGATGCGTGGATCCTAGGCAGAATGATTACTCCTGCGTTTACGATAACCCAAACCCCAGCATTTGTAAAAATTTGCATAAAGGCACCGTACATCAAGGTAACGTTAACCGATAACGTGGACCGGATTTTGAAAGAAATACTTCAAAGTCCACGAGTCGAGGACCAAACGGCTAATTCAACTTATAAATCTTATAAATTCAAATTTCAAGGTATCGGAGGTCGAACTTTATTGTGACGGTCCTGATTTTACTTTCCACGCAAAACCCTATTATTTACGGTTAGTGATCAATGCTTGTTTCGTCTAATTTTTACGCGTTATCCCCAAATTCTCGCGTCTAAAAAAACAAGTAAACTATTTGCACAAGCCTTCATTTTCCGGGAAATTTGGTAGATGATGAACGTGTTAAATCCTCTTACGACGTATCAATCGGCGAAATTGTTATAGAATTACCAAAAGAAACTCCCGGAGAGGAATTTCCGGATTTGGATTTATTAACCAAACTATTAGCACCGAGAAAAAGTAAAATTCTAGAGAAACCCTTAATAGAAGTTGTGGGAGAAAGTAAGGGCGAGAATGATGATCATAAAGGTGATGAGGAAGAATTTGCAAAAGAATTAATTGAAAATGTGGATAGGGTTCAGGATGGGTCGATGTTTCACGATGTGATCGGTGGTGGTGAAGATGATGGAGATTCCAAAATGAAAAGGATGTTGAAAATAATCGAAGAAGGTAGTTCACATTTAAGTAGAAATAGCGGGCTGGGATTATGTTTATGGAAGCTAGTTTTTCTTTTGAATAATAGCCACGGATTTCGATTGGGAGATGCCTCAGAAAATTCACGAGAAAGAAGTAACCATCATTTTGTGATCATCGTCAATTTATCAATTGGTCATAGATTGATCGTGCACTATAATTCCTTAGGATCCTTTGGCTACAGTTGCTAGTTACGGATTTAACGGGTGTTACTCTGGATATTTCATGCATTTACAGGAGACTTGTAACGAAATAATCGATATTTCAGATCCGGAAAAATCCACGTTCGAGTCTCGTCGTCGGGATCGATGTAAGGCAGAGAA